CCTTGCTCTCCCCGCCCAGACCCAGCCTCCAGCACTTAAAAGAAAAAAAAAAGCCCCGTACTCACCGGCTCTGGCAACGGCAATTGGGACCTCTGGGCACTCGTGGCAGAGGCCCCCTGTGCAGCGCAGGGCAGTGGGGATCAACCCCCTGCCTGACACCCACCCAGCAGCTGCCCCATGGCACGGGTGCAGCTCAGCTTGGCAGGGCACTGAGCGCTGCCTGGAAGCTGGGACCGCTTGGGTTGAGCGGTGGCCAGCTTCAGCCAACTGCTGGAGCCGCCCCAGCTCCCAGACAGAGTGCAGTGCCCTGCCAAGCCATGCTGCACCTGCGTCATGGGGCAGCTGCCGCACAGGTGCCAGGCAGGGGGGTTATCCCTGCTGCACTCCGCTGCCCCATGTTATGTGGGGGAGCTCTGCCACGAGCATCAGAGGTCCTGATTGCCACTGCTGCAGCCAGCAAGTGCAGGGTTTTTTTTTAAGCTGGGGCTGGGCAGGGAACAGAGCCAGGCAAGGCAGCCATGGGGGCTTCTCCCACAGCTCCTCTGGCTGTGTCTGCCTCTGCCCCCAGCAGGGGGGGCCATGGGGGCTTTGCCCTGCTGCTGCTTGCCCAGCCGGCATGGGGGGGGGGGGCACAATGCAGGCACAGCTCACTCCAGATGGCAGCAGGGCATAGCCCCCGATCCAGCGCTGACACACCCGCATCAGCGCTGGGAGTGTGGGCTCTGCCCTACCACCACTGGTGGGCCAGCACAGGGGGTGTGGGATGCAGGTGTGGCAGGGCTGGGAGTGGGGGCTATGCCCTGCTACCGCTTGCCCCCTTCTGTCTGGAGCAAGCCACACCCGCATCTCGCCCCCCCACCCCAGCTAGGCAAGTGGCTGAAGGGCAGAGCTCCCACTCCCACTGCTGCCATGCCCACATCCTGCGCTGCCCCTGCCCCCCACCCCAAGTAACGTGCCTCCCTGCCCCAGCTGGGCAGCTTGTCCCAGTCCCAATCCCTCCCTCCCCCTACTCTCCCCCAACCCCAACAGACTTGCCAGCTGGAGGCAGCTGTCAGCTGCCTGTTTAGTCTATGGCCAAATCTCCAAATCAGCCAAATCTTTTCCAAATCAATTTGGATGCTTCGAATTGCTTCAGAGATTTTACTTGGTCTCCCAATTTGATTCTGATTAGGAGATTGTCCCCAAATCGGATCAGCTATTGAAGCTTCGCACAGCCCTAATGTAATCCCCAATAGACAGTTACAAACTAGGACTGGTGTTAAAAGTCCTTAAAACTACAAATGTTACTTTTACTGTATTGTTAAGAATTATTCATGGTTCAGAAAAATACCACAGGAAAGGAAGGAAGTGATTATTCAATTCAATTATTTTATATATTAGTCATATTAGTCAATAGCTATATTCTTAAAAATCACTCATAATGTAGATATAGTCATATAGCACAGTAATCAGTAAAAGAATATCTTGTAAGTGCTGGCTGCAAAATGCAATAGTAAGTCTCTTTGAACCCTCATCTTTGTTTCTATTTCAGAGAGAACAAGTTTGTTTACCATCAAACTACGAAATAATCCAGAGGCAAAAGCAAAGGCTGTTTTGAGGGGTATTTTTAAGTGAAGACACAATAGAAGTTGGGACCAATTTTCTTTCAGTGTAGAAACAGTGTAATGTTTAAAACTGACATGGTAAGGCATACAAACCATAACAGTTGTTAACTGTTGATATTATGAATGAGAAACAATACAATAACCTTAATAACTTGCAACTTCAAAACTATCACGCTTTTTAGGGTGACTACTGTTTCCTGTGCACCCTTTTCTTTCCTTGAATATCTCCAATGGGAAAAGATAATGGTGTCACAACCAGGGTATATAAAATTCTTAATAGAATTCCTGGCTTGACTTTCAATAGTCAAAACTTGATTATGATCATAGCCACACAGCCTAATCATAAATCTAATACAGAAAAATAAGCAAACTCCACCAAGAAAGAGAAAGGGGTACACACTTTTTCTTTAAGGGGGGGGGGGGG